ATGATGAAGAGAAGCCAGTGAATGAGGTTAAAGATTTCTTTGATGGAAGGTATCTCTTATTTCATAAAACTTTTCAATTTCCTTTACATGATTGTATGTTTTTTTACTATTTTTATCTTCTACTCTGATATTATTTATTTCTGTTCCATTTTAGATATGTTTCAGCATCTGAAGCTGCTTGGAGGATATTAAAATTTCCTATTCATTATCGATCCACGCCTGTAGAGAAACTAACTTTTCATCTAGAAGGGAGGCACAAGATTTATTTCAATGGCAAAGAGGATGTTAAATCTGTTCTGGGTAGGAAATCATCACAGCGATCTCAGTTTCTGGCTTGGTTGGAACTAAATAATAAGGATTCGTTTGCTCGGACTCTTACGTATGCACAGATACCGAATCACTATACATACAATAGTAAAGCCAAGGAATTCAATCGCAGAAGGAAAAAGAGTTTTAGTATTGGGAGGATTAACTATGCTCCAAAGAAATTAGAAAGTGATTACTATTCCGAGTTCTTTTAAATATAGTCACGGATCCTAGAAGTTTTGAAGAGATTCGAGCATTCAGAGGAGTTGTTTATAAAACATATAAAGAAGCATGTTTCGCGCGTGGTATTTTGGAAGATGATCAGATTTATATTGACAGTATTATATCTGCAAGTTTATGGTGTTTTGGAGATTATCTCCGTAATTTCTTTGCGTTGATGCTTTCTTCTGATTGCTTAACAACTCCAGAAGATGTTTGGGAGAAGACATGGCATATTCTATTGGAGGATATGGAGAGAAAGAAAAGAATCGAGTTCAACAATCCTGGTAATAGGAAACATTTTTAAATCATGATTACATATATTTATATCATGTTTTCACAGTATTGTAGTCTAATTATTGTTTAAATTTGTACAGATCTTCATTTAAACGATGCTGACAAGAAAAATTTGACTCTACAAGAAATTGATAATCTATTGTTGAACATGGGAACTTCTCTCGATCGATTTCCATCAATGCCACAACCAAGTGGAGAGAGGGTCAATCATTCGAATCGTTTTATTGTTGATGAGATGTCCTACGACACAGTTGATTTACAGAAGAAACATAATGAATGGTTGAAGATGTTAACATCCGAGCAGAGAGGAATATATGATCAAATCACAAGTACCGTTTATAGTGGAAAAGGAGGTATATTCTTTGTTTATGGTTTTGGAGGAACCGGTAAAACATTTATGTGGAAAACTTTATCAGCTGCTATACGATCTAAAGGGTCAATTGTACTTAACGTGGCATCTAGCGGTATTGCCTCTTTGTTGTTAGAAGGAGGTAGGACTGCTCACTCAAGGTTTGGTATTCCTATTAATCCTGATGATTTTACTTTATGTTCGATGAAAGCTGGATCAGATCTTGCTAATATGGTTAAAGAAGCAGCGATGATAATCTGGGAAGAAGCCCCTATGATGAGCAAGTATTGCTTTGAATCCTTGGATAGAAGTTTGTCTGATATTATTGGAAATGTAGATGGCAATCCTTTTGCAGACAAAGTTATGGTTTTTGGAGGGGATTTTAGACAGGTTCTACCTGTAATTAATGGTGTAGGGAGAGCGGAGATAATTATGTCTTCATTGAATTCGTCTTATATTTGGGAACATTGCAAGGTCCTAAAGTTAACTAAGAACATGAGGCTATTGTCTAATAATCTGAGTCGCGATGAAGCTAATGAAATTAAGAAATTCTCATAATGGTTATTAGATGTCGGAGATTAGAAACTTTCGGAGCCTAATGACGGTGAAGCTCTAATAGATATTCCTGAAGAATAACTTATTACTGAAGCGACTGATCCCCTTGAAGTGATTAGCAATGAAGTTTATGGTGATCCAAATTTGTTGATACATAATGATGATCTAAAGTTTTTTCAGGAAAGAGCTATCTTATGTCCAACCAATGAGGATGTTGATTTGATCAATGAACTTATGCTTGATAAAATTAAAGGTACGTTGTTATTTCTTATAATATTTACATTTAACTCTAAAGTTGTTATTAATATATGCATAAGTATACTGAGTTAATTATTTATTTGTATCAGGTGATGAAAGAGTTTATTCAAGTGCTGATACTATAGATCCTATGGATACAGTTCAAGCAACAATCCAATTTTCACTCTTGATTTCCTACACAGTATAAAGGTACCTGGATTACCCAAACATTCTATACGTCTTAAGATAGGGGTTCCAGTGATGTTGCTACGAAACATAGATCCTAAGGGGGCATTATGTAATGGAACTAGATTACAGATAACACAAATGGCTGATCATGTTTTAGAAGCTCGAGCTATTACAGGAGAGAGAGTGGGTTCTAAGGTTTTGATTCCTAAGATTGTGATTTCTCCATCAGACGTTAAGCTGCCTTTTAAAATGAGAAGAAGACAGTTTCCATTAGCTGTAGCTTTTGCTATGACCATTAACAAGAGCCAAGGACAATCACTAAAGGAAGTTGGTCTGTTTCTTCCTCGGTCCGTTTTTTCTCATGGTCAGCTTTACGTTGCACTCTCTCGAGTTACTTCTAAGAAAGGTTTGAAAATATTTATAATAGACAAGGAAGATAATCCTCAGAAGCAGACTACAAATATTGTTTTCAAAGAGATTTTACAAAACCTTTAGTTGTTATAACAATGAGTTAATTTCTTCTAGCTGTTACTTTTATTTGATTTTTTATAGTTGGTGTTTTTGTATTTCAAACTTATCTATTTTCAATCAATCATTGTCTATTAAGCAAATAATTTTTATTGAAATACTCATCATTCATCTAACATATACTCAGGAATATAAAAGAACGAAGAGAAACTGACATTTTCTTCTGGATTTTCTTTGAATTTCGTTTAGTTGCAAAAAGTCATTTTATTTTCCAAATGTGTAGCATCTCATGTATTCGGAATTTTAATCTGTTCACGAATTTTCTGTTTTAAAAAAACAAGTAATTATAATCAGTTTTTGTGCTAATTCACAAAAATAAAAAAATATATATTCCGGACGAAGAAATATTCATCAAAAAACCCGATCATGTTTATATTTAGGAATAAAAAACACTGCTTCGTCTAATTATTTGGTTAATTATCAAAAATATCAATTATAATTATCACGCTTTCAAAAACAATCTATTGTAAACATTATTTACTAAAAACACCGAAGAAAAAAATATGAGTTACTTATCTTATTTTTTTTTTTGTTGTAGAAGTATTCATCGGACGTTTCTTTCCGATCCATTCCTGTAAGAAACACAAACAACAATTGATCTATGGTTAATCATCACCTCAAATATTTGTGTAACAAATTCTACATGCATGAAAAGATATACAATTACTTATCTGGAATTTGCCCTCCCAAGAACAATCGCAAAGTCAATTGGGCAAATTTTGACTTTATACTCTGAAAATGATTCTTCAATTTATGAGATCGAACAGATCGATTGAACCGATGATTGAATTGCATGAAATAATCGGAACTCTTCGTTATTTGCAAGATCGAAGGATTTAAAAGTCGAGATCAATCGACTTTGCTATGAGATCGATGTGTTTGAAAGAAAATAGAGATTTAAGTAGATCGGAAGATTAGAGTAACTTCTGTTCAGAGATGTGTGTGATTTGGGGGAGAAGAAACGAAGCAGGAGAAGAAATGAATCTGATTTTTGGTTTGTCTTTTCGTCGAAGTCGGGAGAAGAAGAGTCGAGTTGAAGCTTTGTCTTCTCGATAATTTGGAGAGGAAGAGTTGAGAATCAAAGACCGTTTAGTTTATTATTTTGGGCTTTTTTCAAATTGGGCTTTTTTAAATTGGGTTTTTCTTTTTTGATTGTTGATATTTTATTTAGTTTCTTTTCAAATTTGAAATAATTAATACAATTTTTTTATTCAATTAATAAGTCTAATTTTTTGTTTAAATTTTTTTAATAATTTTAACATCAACACTGATATTTTTGCTGTTTGATATTATTTTAAAATAACATATTCGTAATTCATCAAAATCATTTGTAATATAATAAATCGTTACCAATTGCGATGGTAGATAAAAATAATTAAATTTATGTATACGCACAATATAACTTATATGTTTTGATATTATTTAAAAGCAATTCAGTACTTAAAGTAATTCATACATATATATATATATAAAAAAATAAAAGTATTTTTATACTAAATTAAAATATAAGTTTTCATATTTTCTAAGTTGACCACAAATATAATGGTAAAACACAAAAAATAAGAATGTTTTTATATTCATCTACTATATAATTTTAAAGAATCTTATTTAATTAAAATAAAAGATTTAACAATCATCTTAATCAAATATTAACAGTGTTAAATAATAACTTCATCAAAAATAATTCACATATATTTTTTAAATCTATCGAATTCTAAGTCAAAATCTTAACTATACAAAATAATTCACATATATAATCGACAAATGATCCAATAATTATACAAACATAACTACAAACTTAGAATACATATCACACGTAAAGAAAAGAAAATTACCATTCACAAATAATAACACTTTTTAGTTCAACAAACAATAAAAATAGACAATAAACATATCAGCCAATATAATAAAATATATATCTGTAAACTAAACTGCATAGTATAATTTAAATTAAATATATATATTATCAATTAGTCTGCAGGTAGAGCGGGCTAAATCTTAGTACAATCATATATGGGAAATATTCTTAGTGTCATAAGAGTAAAAATGTCTGAAACTCTTTCTTGTTGTAGGGAGTGATTGCATTTTTTATTTTTGGCGCTGTGAGATTTTTTTTAAAAAAGGAAAGTAATTGATTGGTACAGTGTACAGCACAAGACAATTAGTCCCTTATTAGTTAAATATAATTATATACAGCGTTCCTATCCACGTACTATACAATGAGTAAACATACAATGTTTAAACATTTTCCACCTTACACATTGCTTACCAACAAATCTTCAACCAATTATATATAACAGAGTCCAACGAAAACAAAATCAGACCAATCTATTCCTTTTCTTTTTTTTATTTGATATTCAGATTTGTCTTCTTTCTGTACTTCAAAGACAGATTCATGGCTTCTGTTGGGAACACACTCTGCCTCGTTGTAGCTTTACTTCTGATCTACCAGAAGACAGCAACATGCCGTGAAGCAGCTGCTCCAGTACAGCCCAAAACGTTTCCTCAATACGACGATGATTCACCTTTCGATGGTATCGATGGTTATAATCTTTAATCTCGTTTGCTTCGATCCTCTATGTGTATATATATATATGACTCTGGTGTTCTTATGTAGTTTGTCGTTGGGTGATTTGTGGTGGAGGATCTTGCAACAAGACAAATGTGTTATCATACAACTGCCATTGCCGTGAAGGTTACAAAAATCTTTTCCACATCGCCATGCTTCCTTGCATCAAGAATTGTAAGAAAAACAACAGTATAGGATTCTTATTAATTGTCAAATTGAAACAAAGAGTTAATTTTTGGTGGAGGGGCTTGTGTTTTGGAAGGTACAATTGGAAAGGACTGCTTGGATAATGTAATCATCCCTTTTTCAAACGCATCATCGTTTTCTCCATCTCCTCTACCTGAGAGCAGCAAGAATCTCACTGACAGCAGCAATAATCAAGGTTTGTTGACTTCTTAAAATGTCTAACTTAATCTGTAATCAAGATAGTATCTTTATGATTGTGATCTTATATATTGAAGAAGTTGAGGTTTGTTTAAATTGCAGCAGCAGGATTGAATCTAAGAGGATCATCATTGTGGTTGATAGCATCTTTGCTTTGTGTCTCTATAGCACCATGGAACCTGCTCTACATTTGATCTCTTGTACTTTTGGTTTCAAATTTTGTGTGTGTGTGTGTACCCTTTCGATGTTTTTTTGTTTGATATCGTACTGTTTCTGTATTTATTTGCTTCTTATCTGTTTTACTCTTTTATTCATCCTTTTTTTAACTAATCATAGAATTATATTTCTCAACAACAATAATTCAAGATCTATCAACAATATTCTACGTAAGTTAAATTATTCAGTCATAGAATTTGATAGAAACCCAAATGTTGTTCATTGTTGATCTTCAAAGTATGCATTAGATTTGGTATTTGTAATTCATGCTTGAAACAATCTAAAGTTTACATTTTGTTTTTAGTATCTTATAATAAAATTTGTGAATTCACATTTAATAATTAACATAGTACTTGTGACATGTATTAATTGATGAAATTTTGATACATATATTTCAAAAATCCAATTATATTTCATCCCATGTAAAAAAGTTATTCATTTATATTAAAATAGCTGTAAATAGGTTTCAATTTAAAAAAATTATAAGAAAAAAAAATATAATTATATTAAAATGAAATAAAGCATATAGATACAAAAAAATAAGTATGAAAAGAAGGACAATAAAATAAAATTATCATAATTTTGTTTAAAACAAAAAATATATATATATATATGTTAAAAAAAATCTAGCTCTCAAACAATAATGTTAAATATATAATTATTAATTATTCACATAAAAAGGAAAAAGATCTACAAAAAAATGAAAAAAAAAGATATATTGATAATTTTGAAAAAAGTCAGATTTTGTAGACTTTAGTTAATTTAGTAAATTTCTCCTAAAAACACTCATAATTTTACAATATATATAACAGTTAATTTTGGAAAAACATAATGAAAGAAAAAGGAAAAATGAAAAATAAATAGTTATTAAAAATAGAAAAGACAACAAAAATGCATGAAAAAAAAGAATTCATTTATTTTTAATATGGTGATTTTATTAATATAAATATCGTTTTTCTTTTTGGAAAAATATGTCAAAACAAAATTTAACTCTCAAACAATACTATTAAATCTATAAGAACATAAAAAGGAAAAAATAAAACATATAAACTAAAAGCATCTAAAAGGAAAATAATTAGGAAAAAAATCTAATTATATTAAAAAAATATATTATCGATATAAAACCTCCATAAATTAATAATGTTGAGATTCTTAAATTTTATTAATTTATAAAATTATTAATTAATCGATAAATGATAATTATTAATTTATCGATAAATTAAAATTTTATTAATTTATAGAGATATTTTAAGTTTGAATTTTTCATATTCATCAAAAAAAAATCTATATTTTTAACAATGTAAAATTCATTCAAAAAATGTCATAATAATAAATTTAGAAGATAAATCAAACAAATTTTATAAACTTGAAACAACAATACTATCATAGTTTACTATATTATATTATTAATATATGCCTAAATATATAATTATTAATTTATATTATTATTGGTACCATATTTCTACATAGAACTTTCAAAAAAGTATTATTTTATTATCTTATCGAATTTTATCAATTTTTACATTGGTCCGACTTGGGACCAGCAAATGTTATTAATTTATAGTGATTATTAATTTATCGAGTATTAATTTATTGAGGTTCTGCTGTATATCTATTACTAATAAAAATTGATGCTAGATGCCTCTAAGAGTGTCCACATAGGATTTAAAGATTCAATTAGATAGGTACATGTTAGAGATGAGATTCGTATCATCTCTACAAGCCCGATATGAATTCTAGTGGGCCCATTTTACAAGTCTCAGGTCGGCTAAACAAATGGAAACTTTCCATTTATCGAGCGAACCCGGGAAAAAGGAAGTTCCTTCTTGTCGGCAAGAAGACTTTCCTATTTTACACATATCGAAGACCGACCTGATTAGCTATAAATATGGGAAGCCTTCGACTTCTCAGGATCATCCAAAAATTACCTCTCGAGACCTAAGGCAGATTAAGCAATCTAATTGTTCTTAGCTCTCGATTTACTTTCCTTTAATAGTTAAGGTCGGCGTTCTTATTCCGACGACCTAACTTCCGTGTATTCTATCAAGCTCCGGCTTCTTCTAATAAAAGATCTCTCTTTAAACCCACAAACCCTAGTTCATTCATAAACCGAACTTGAGTTTTTACAGTTGGCGCCGTCTGAGGGGAATAAGAGAACAATCTTTGACTTAGAACGGAGTTCGAAGATGGTTGAAAAACCGATCAACACCACCGACCTCACAGAAGGACCCACCGATCTTGCAGGGGGAACTGCTGATCCAATGAGAAACGCCCAGGGTCCGATCGTCTACCAAGTCACTGGACTCACCGTGATCAACGAGACCGATCAGCAAGAAGACACGATAGGCGCGACAGATCAGGTCGGCCGCACCGGTGGAACGAACACGACCAACCTGCCACAACCGCCTCCCATCGACATGGCCACCATCATCAGGTCGGTTGTAGCACAGCTGCAGCAGGGAATGGATGCTCGCTTTGAATTCCTCCGTGCCGAACAGATTGCTTACCGAGAAAATTTAGATCGGCTTCTCAACTCAAGGATTCATACCCAAGAGCAGGCCGATCTAATCACCCCCCCCCCCCCTCGCCCTCCGATCCGCAACACAGATACGACCAGGCTGGTCAACAACCTGTTCGGCACGACACCGACAGATGACCTGCGGAGAGCACAGGCAGAGGGCTCGAATGTTCGCTCATCCCGTAATACTGCAGGTACCGACCCGAGAATGACCTTGGAACTAGATCTTCTCCACCAACGCCTTCACGATATCCACAGCAAGATCCACAAGGCGACGACCTCGGCACCAGAATTGGATAAAATCTTCCAGGAGACGCAGCAAACCCCGTTCACGTCGGCTATCACCAATGCTCCTCTTAAGGACATAGGTCAGATGAAGCTACCTCCGAGTTACACAGGCACGACAGACCCGAAGCGACATCTGACCGCATTCAATGCAGTCATGGGACGCGCTCGCTTCACCGACGAGGAGCGGGAAGCATGCCTCTGTCAGTATTTCGTGGAGACGCTCTCCGGAAGCGCCCTCACCTGGTTCTCGCAACTTCCCAAGAACTCCATCGATAGCTACAAGGAGCTCACAGCTCGGTTCCTTAAGCATTATTCGATTTATATCGATACGGAGTCCACAGCACTCGATCTATGGGCGTGCGTCCAGGGCGACACGAAGCCGCTGCGCGATTTCATCGATCGGTTCCGATCGATCGTCTCCCGGTGCAGTCTGTCGGACGAACCATCCCTCAACATCCTTATCAGGAATTTGAGGGATGATTCATCGTACTGTGAGCGATTAAAGACAGGAAAGACCAAAACTGTGGTAACCCAACCTGGTAAACCGTACCGCGGTTGTGTCCCACTACATCCTCTAAGTCCGTTTCTATACTTAGCCATATTTTTAAACTTTTTCTTCATTCTTATTCTTTCTTATCAATACACAGTGGAATATAAAGCAACTCATTTCTTTCATTTAACTTGCATAAAATCACTTAAACAGGATTCGGGGTTCAACATAAATAAAAGCACAAGGTTTGCTAAAGATTACAACTGGTCATCTAGCAACCTAACGATCAAACACCAAAGCCATAAGACCCTAAACACAAGTCTTAAATCATAAAACACCCAATCCCCGATCCATCCATATCCATCACTGCCGCCTGGTCTCGCCCCTTTACTGGTTAGTACCTACACACTCAAGAAGAGAGGCATAAGTATTTCATAAATACTTAGTGAGTACAGTCATCCCGTAACACCTGGTCAGTACCAAACACGCAATCATACTTTCGGATTCAACATTCAACACAATCAATTCGCAATAGACATAACAATATCAAACGACCATGATCATCTAACTTAACCAACCAAGTTCAATCCCTTTTTAAGACCCATGTCTACTTCAGCGTGAATCCCACATCCCCTAAGCTAGTACATTATCCGGATTACCCTGAGATTAGCTAAACATCATATATGCCACGGTAAACTCCACACTATATCATAACATAAGAATTGCAATCAGTTCTAAACACATAACATGAAAATCACATAATCAACATGCAAACATTCAACCCTAGCAATCCTACGGTCCTAGACATCAACCACAGTCACGCACTCACCTTAAAGAAGGCTGGAAACAGATTGGTCAGAAGAAATCCCGATGAAAACCGCACCAAAACGAAGATATCCGATCTCCTTAAGAATCTCTTGGCTGCCCGTACGATCCGATCCTTATCCCCTCGGCTCTCTCTCGATCCGTTTAACTTTCTTCGAGCCAAACTCTGTTTTCCCTCGAAAACCCCCCAAAAAAAGGCTATTAGCTCGAGGTTATCCGATGAAAACTCAACACTTAGGGTAATATCCTATCGTTTACCAATTTATCTCGGCGATGGTCGGATCTGCTCGGCGATAACCTGATCTCTCTCGGATGTCCTCGGGATAAACTATTTTTCTTAGGGTTTTCTCTCGACTATTCTCTTTTTTTGCTTTATTGCTCTCGAATAAACACAACTCTTCTGAGAAAAGTCTCAAAATCCCTTAAATACTCGCAAAACCCTAGATAACCCGGACTTATCGGACGTTTTCCTGGTTCCAGTAGGTTTTATCCCGGTCCGATTTGATTCTCTCGGCTATTCCCTGTACTGGCTCGACCATTCCTTCGATAAACCACAAAATAGCCGACCAAACACTTGGCTCACGGCCCAAATCCCTTCCCATTCGGATAAACCGCCCTTATCCGAGGTGTTTTCCATTTTTCATCCGGATATTCCTATTTCTCCCGGACAACTTGTCCCATCTCGGCTAATCCTCTATTTCTCTCGGAGGTTTCCCTTTCTCCCTCGGAGACAGTCCACTGACACTCGGACTAACCTCCCAGGCTCTCGGATAAATCCCACTGCACCGGAATAAATCCCATTTCCCACGGATTGGACCCACATCCGACTATTCCCTCGGTCATCACCCGACCATAGTCTGAACCTTTAATTCCCAGCCAATATCCGACCCTTGGCTCGATTATTCCTCTGACAACGCCCTGTCCAGTACGATCATTCCATATTTTCTCGGATACGGATGCTCAAAAACCCTCGAAGATGCTTTACACAAGGCAACCGGCTACATCAGAGTCAAGAA